TACACTATATCTACTAGCATATATATCGACACTATTACACTATATCTACTAGCATATATATCGACACTATTACACTATATCTAATATCATGTATATCGACACTATTACGCTATATCTACTATCACATATATGGACACTATTACACTATATCTACTAGCATATATATCGGCACTATTACATTATATCCACTATCATATATATCGACACTATTACACTATATCTACTATCATATATATCGACACTATTACACTATATCTAATACCAGATGATTTTATTTCTATTTAAATTTCTAATGTTTTCTAAATAACTGCAGATTTAACAAGATCAGTCTGGTTGATCATTTCACCTGTGATCAACAAAAGTACAAACTCTAGAACTACCAATGTGATTCGACTTTTTAAACAAGATTTTATGAACTATATATGCAAGAAAATCCATTACTTTGTGCCTTATATGGTTCCTAATAACCATAAATATATCCAGGGGAGGCTACTGCCCATTACTCTTCTCCCAAATTTCAGAAAAGATCATTTGTATAGCTTTCTTACGTTTCGTTACTATAAAAGTCATCAGTTGATTTGCTCACAAGCCCTCCAACCTCTGAAAATTATTTCTACTACGTCACTGCTAACAGCATACGAGTCATATAAAAGAAAAAACTTCGACAAAAATAATATCAATATTGCAATTAATCTCATTCATTACTGCTAAGAGTCGCTTGTATCTTTTACATAGAAAATTAATCATTTTACCTGATGTTATTGGTCAGTTTTTTTTACACAGTGTTGTAACAGGTAAAGACATAAAATTATGTGGACCTCACCGGTATTGAGCAGTCTGAAAACCAACAATAGTGTAAATGTTTAGCCCAAAGCTACTTATCAGTTAGATTTGTTCAAACGAGTTAGTCACGTTGTCGAAGGAAGTATATTTTTTCATATTAAATAATTTTATGTCAGTTACTCGTTAGAATAACAATAATATTACGTGTGTTTGTTTTTAGATTTTTTTGTGCGAAACAACACAAGCGCAGAGCCGACCCTAATTTTGAACTGGTAGACCAGAGGGGAAGGCAGCGGTTACTACAGCTCCCAGGCTTCTTTTATCTGACCGAATAGTGGGATTTGATAGTCAATATTATACCACACTCACGGTCCGAAGTGTGGAATGTGTTTGCGCAGCAACTAGACTCGAGTAATGAATTCTTGGATTGACAGTATGGCCACGCTAACTACTAAACCAGATCAAATAATAAAACAAATAATTTAGAACGTTATTTGATGTTATGTTGCGCGTATACATATTAGGCTTAATGACTAAACTCATGGAATCTTTTCATAAGGGAAGAAAACAACTCGAATCCAGCAACACATTGCAGAAAGCCTTGTATGGCCTGGTGTTTCGGGCGCTCGACTCGCAAATTGCGGGTTCGAATCTCATCACTGAATATGCTCTTGGGGGCGTTATTATGTGACGGTCAATCCCATATTTCGTTGTTAAAGAGTAGCCCAAGAGTTAGTGGAAGGTAATGTTGACTAGCTGCCTTCCCTCTAGTCGACCTAAATTAGAGACGGTTAAAGAGATAACCCCTGAGTTGCTTTGTACGAAAAACAAACAAACAAAAACAACAACCAAAAGTTGAAATATAAAAAAAATTGTTCGGGTTCCGGCTATCTCAAAACATCCATAACTTGAAATAAAAAAAAATAAAAAAATCGGGTTCTGGCTATCTCAAAACAACCAGAAGCTGAAAAAATACTCGGGTTCTGGCTATTTCAAAACAACCAGAAACTGAAAAAAAGATTGTTCGGGTTCTGGCTATCTCAAAACAACCAGAAGCTGAAAAAA